CTGGTGTTGGCATGCAGCTTGAGTTGCTTTCAAAGCTGCCACCTGGGACCAGTATGAAGATGGAAATGAAGGCCATTCATTTAAATAAGGGAAGAAGTGGTCTTGGTGTTTTCTGAATCTGGAGTGCCAATGTTCCAAATCTAACTCTGGGCTATTTTTGCCTTTCATTTACTCTGACTTTCATTAATATACAGTTCAGTTTGAAAAGTGGTTAGAATTGCACCAGCAGGTTGCATGCATGTAATCAGTGACCTTCTAGATAACTTGCTAAGTTTTTTATAAAAAACTGTTAGTTGCAAATTACTGTAAACTACTCAGTCTGAAAGCAGAAGTCAAGCTGGATTCCTTGCTTAGGCACTGACCAGTAATTTAAAAAAAATGACTTTATTTACCTATCTGCGCTTCCTGTGCTTTGCCTGCAGTGGGTTTGCAGAACTGTAACAGCTCACAAGGAAGGTTCTGAATCATTCTGAGGAGATATTTGCTGACTGTACAGATGTGGTCTGATAACAAATATTCAAGACCAATGCAACTTCTTAAAATGATATTTTGTCATTCAAGAAAATCTTTTATTTCAAGTATGCATTGAGCTGTTCTATACTTTATTTGTTCCTGGTGGTGAGTCTAAAAGAAAAACCCCAGGGCTGTCCGATTGCCCTAGGTTTTGACTCTCATCAAATCAGCCCTGGGCCAGTAGTTTATGGGAAGCTTGAATGGCAACTAACTGGACTTGGCTCTGATTGTTCCAGGGGGGAAAAGTGTTAACTTGGTACTTCAGAGAGAAAGTGGGAGCTGAGCTTGCAGTAGGGCTAAAAACAGACACCCGGTTTGAGACCCTGATTAGGCTGGGATAGGACCTGCATCAATACATGAGGCTTAAACGGCAATGAAGTTGAAATAAGTGAGATTGTTCTGAGGCAAAGTGTTACTCTGGGTACCTCACAGGCTAGAAACCTTTCTTCAGTGGAGCCTGATCAGCATGACATGATACAACTGATGGTGCTCCAGGGACACCTATAGGTGCCCCTGGTGCCTATGCCTGACTTGGGGCACATCTACAAGCGGGGAGGAATCCTGCCTGTGACCCAGGACACACTCCTAGCAGCAGCATAGAGCAGAGTACACACCTTGCAGAGGGATTTCCCCATACTCTGCATGGGGCTGTCTGCAAGCAGGAAACCCTGACTTGCAGACATGCACCCTGGAGCCTCTACATTTGTCATTAGCCAGACACATCCCTGGGACATATCTGGGGAAGCAGAGAAAGAGAGAGAGGGACTTGCAGAGCTTGAGGGGACCAGTCCTGCTGAGGGGTTCCCAGGGCCTGCAGGACCAGGCACCTCAAGCCTGAGGAGGCCCTGCCCCAGTCTGCTTCAGGCTGTAGGACACAATAAAGCACCCCTATTTGTTCGTACCTCATTGCCGCTATGAATTTGGGCATTTGTGGCATGACCAAGGGTAGGGAGGTCTGTTCCTTTTCATTTTGTGCTGCTATAAATGCACCTTTATGGCAGCATAGTTCCCTCCAAGGGCTTTTTCCGTTGGAGAGTGCCTTTAAGGGGTGGGGTTAGTGCCAGGCACTGCTCTCCAAAGCAAACCAAGTCGGGCATCTGTCTTTAGGGGATGCCAGCATCAAGGGCTATGCCAGGGAATAAATCCATTACCTGCCACAAGTCACTTCTCCCCTTTCAGGACCTGGAAGGTGGCTTCTGGCCTTTTAGCTCAGATAGTGTAGAGGGCATCCTAATCCCAAAACCTCTGGGTTTAGGCCTGTATGTATCATAGAATCACAGAAGTAGGGTCGGAAGGGACCTTGTAGATCTTCAAGTCCGACCCCCTGCCCTGGGCAGGAGGAAAACTGGACTCAAATGACCCCGTGTAGGATGCCTGCCAATGGATTTGGGAATGTCTGAAGCCCTGGGTGAGTCTGGGACAGAGGATGCTGGCAGGTTGTAGGGCCACACATGATGTTTAGAGCGGTTGAGTTCTGCCTGCTCAGTTGATAGTTTTCGGATAGGGTTGCCAACTCTGAATCTATTCTGGGAGGTTTCCAGAGCGCCAGCGTGCCTTTGGGCTTGTGTATATCAAACCATAGAAAATGAGGGTTGAAGGGGACCTCAGATCATCTAGTCCAACCCCCTGCTCTCAGTGGGACCACTTCCAGCTACCCTGGAAGTCTTCAAGAGGAGACTGGTCACCTGGCTGGGGTCACCTGATCTCACCTGGTGCACGGGGCTGGACCCAATGATCTTGTGAGGACCCGTCCAATCTATGAATCTGTAAATCATCCCAGCCAAATCAGATCATCCCAGTTACGCATTACAGCCTGTAGGCTTCACAGCAGGAAGGCAAATGCACGGGACTGTGACGTTTTAAAAACCCACCGGACTATTGCATTCACCGTTTACTATGTATGTGAATGAATGTCTCCTCACTCCTCTCCCGGGTGACTCCCAGCAGTCTGCTGGAGGTTGGTAGCCGGTCCCTGGAGACTCCAGGGCGGTCCTGGAGGGCGGGCAGCCGGGGGCCCCCGCCCCCAGCCCGGCGGAGCCGCCCATGTCGAGTCGAGCCGAGCCGAGCCATGGGGCTGGCG